CCCCCCCCTCTGTGCCAAAATCTTCATCCACACCCATGGACGTACAGATAGGTGTCTCGAACCCCGACATAGATGAGAATGTCGGTGATGGTTCGCGTGACACTTAGATGCACCTGGATGGTCGTGTAAATCAGCTAATGCATTTTTCAATGAGATGGTGATACCCGGATTGTGACGACAACGAAAGTTCGATCCACCCGTACGTGTGTTGCACATATGATGTTAACACTTCAATGACGTTCGTTATCCACACATAGCCAATTCTACTGTATAGGCTTGCGCTGCTAGGCATCGAAAGGTACAAAGGTAACATTCGGTGACGATAATCCAATATTCTCTTCTATATCCATGATCCGTATGCGTTACACTGACAAAGAGACGACAAATTGCAGCACACAAAGCGATTCACGCACTGTTCCTAGACCCACGAACACGGGTATGAGCGTAGACCTTCACAAGGCTGCCTGCGCGAAAATCCGCGCTTCCTCCTCCTCCACTTCGTCTGCCCACGTCTTGCGTCCTCCCTTGCCCTTCTTGTTGCTGCCCTTTCGGCCAGAGCCCGCAGGCAGAGGAGGGACAGAGCCCCACGGATCCTCGTTATCGGGCTCCGGCCACAGAGACGATGCTTCGCTCTTTGCATCCCACTCAGTCTCGGGCGGTGCTGGGGTAGTAGGACCCTTGTTCTTCATGAGCCGGGCGGGCCGGGGTGGAATGGCCTTGGGAGGCTCTTCTACAGCAACGGGAGCCTCTACAGTGGCAGCAGGAGCCTTGTTTCTCGTGAGCCGGGCGGGACGGGGTGGAATAGCCTTGGGAGCCTCCTCTGTGGCAGCTTCTCCAACATTAGTGGAATTCGCGTTCGCACGAGTGCCCTTCCTCTCGAGACGAGCAGGGCGAGGGGGTATGACACGCTTGGGTTGGGATGGGGGCTGAGGCCGCCTGCTGGTACCTCTGGGTGGGGGAGGTGTGCAAGGATCAGATATGGACTCAGAGTCGGATGCACTAGTAGGCTCGGAAGCATCGCCATCCTTCTTGTTCGATGTGGACGCGCCGTTTGAAGCTGGCGTCGCTTTTGCCTTGTTGAGCAGCCGAGAGGGCTTGGGTGGAACGTTGGCTGCGGCTGTGGGCGGAGCACGACCTTTGTTTGACTTCGCACGCCAGTCCGGGGCAGACGACGAATCTGCGGCAGGTTCCGACAATCACTGCAGTAAGCAACTGGTGCGTTACGCAAACATCGCATGACGACCTACTTTTCCGACGCTGACGCTGACCCTCGCCCTTCGCCTTCTCATATGGTCGGGAAGAAAAAGTACTATCCTCATTCCCCGCTTCCTCAAGCTTCCTCTTCAGCTTGATCAACGGCTCGCATTCCCTACAAACCTTGGAGTACTTGAGAATGTGGAGCGAGCACTCAGGCAACGATGACTCTGGCTGCTTCGGCATACTTTCCCACAAGTTCGTCATAGCGCCAGCGTCGCCGTCCTTTTCTTCCAAGTCCACCGGTGGCGCAGCCCCACTTGGGCTATTGTCCTTGGCCCACCAGCCCTGAACCGCCGGCGCATCATCCTCCATGTCATACAGGTCGTCGTCCACCGAGAGGCTCTGCATGGCGTCCTGTACGTTGAGAACGACAGCATGATCATTCTGCGGCCCACCGGGAGTGAACAATGGGTCCGAGTTATCGCATCCGTTCGAAGAGCTTGAGTGGATGGACGACTTTCCGCTCGTGTTGTACTGCACGGGCGGTGGCTCTTGGTAGTATCGTACGTTGCGCCTGGCTGGCCCCAGGCCCGGAGGTGCCTGCATGGCGGCGGCCGCTGGACTCTGAGCCCCTGCAAAAATAGTCAGTCGACGATACCGAGAAAATGGCATGGCACACTGTGTACGTACAATCGCCGATGTTGCTGACGCCAAGGCTGACTTCATGCTCGCCACCTTCAGGCTCCTTCGACGGCAGAGTTGGATCATCCCAGGTCCATTCAGTGGCTTCCGCCTTGCGCCGATCAGAGCGCCTCCCGAGCAGCTGATCATAAAGTTTTTTCTGTTCCCTCCATGTGATCCATTCCGGCGTGCCGACTAAAACCAACCACCAGCGTCTGAGTTCACGTCTCATTGATGTGAGAACTGTACGGACCTTTGGGCGGTACCTCAGGTGGAGGCGGAGGGAATACGCGGACGGGTAGATGGCGGCAAAGCGGCTCTCTGGTCTTGTCCTCTTTGGGCACCTCACAGTAGTAAGTGGCGGGATATGGATGCACGATCAGCCTAGAAACGTATCATTTAGTATGGCGTCTGCAGTGAGTGTATAACCACGTACTTGTTTATCGGGATCCACTTTTCTTCCTCGAACCACTCTTCTAGCACATCAAGGCGCTTCCAACCTTGATACAAATACTCAACTACATTCCGATATATGCAATCGACTATTCGCACCATATTTCTGCACCTCCCGTCCCGAGCTGTGCGTGCAATAGAAAATCTTGGAGACCTGCTGCTTCTCGGTATCTGACGGGTTTCGCAGAAACTCTGCCCATCGGTGCTCGCCGAGAAGCCTCTCCACACCCTTGTAGCTACGATCGATTTCGATTAGAACATTGTGTGCGGTCTTGATGCGTGGGCACGCTGATCAGTACCAAATCAGTTGTCGATCGTCCGACACTCACCCTGGGTCTGTAATAGAAAGCGTAGAAGCTCTTTGCGCCTATGATGGAGGAGATCCAGTAGACAAAGGCAAGACGATCGCCCATATGCTCCACATTGGCATGCAGAGGATACGGATAATGGACCGTTAGAAATCGCGGCTCGTCATCGGGCGGGGGAGGGGTCGGAATACGTTTAGGCATGTCGAGCAATGTGTGAAGAAAAGGCTTCCCGGCCCTCGTAGTCCTGTCAGAGGTGAGAGATAGGACCGTTAGGCGCTGCTTTACGCGTCACTTTATATTCGTACGAGTGGCTCGCTAGTCAGACTACGTGTATGCGGCACGTTCTGGGGTGCTTCACAGACCGAAGCTAATGCAGAAACATGTAGAGTATATGCATGAACTAACTGAGACATTGGACTAACCGAGAAGCTTGCACGAAGCAGCACGGATGTTTTGAGCACAGGCAAAGTCCGCCGTGGCCAACCCACTGCCGTCCAAGCGATAAGAGTACTGTCGAGTCCCCTAATTCGACTCGCAGTATAACAGCGTTTCAACGGCAGGGCGACGGCCGGTCGGATTGGACCTGAGGAGAATATTGTGGTTATGGGACGAACGTGGAAGAGAAGACGTGACCGTGGCCGCCACTCAAGGCCACCGTGACACACGCGACAGTCACACGGAACGCGCCGCCGTGGCGACCCTGAGCCTGGGAGTCTAAATGGTTCGCAGCCGTAATTCACAACTTGTTCAACTCATCGTTCATATCCGTATCTTTGTGTCCAGCATGTTGTCCACGCAAGATGCAAGCCGTTCGAGTCAGTCTGATGTACGCCTATGGCATTGCAGGTGGAACTGGTGCCCACGGATGTTCACCAACGGACCCGACCTGCTACAACACTTGAAAGCCGAGCATTTCTCCAACATCCTACGTGTGCCCAAGCGCGATTGGGATCTATATATGCGCGCATGTGAGGGCAGAAGCGGTGCTACTGGTAAGTGTGGCGGGTTTCTGGAGCATTATCCGTCTCATCGAAAGGCCAGATAGCATAGCAGTGCCTTCGCGGTTTCCGTCGTCTTCTGTCGGCGATGTACAGTCGCAGAGCCAGATGGGAGACCATGTTGAACGCGCTGCGTCCTCTAGCTTGAGGTCATCACCAGCACGCGAACCTGTGCTGACCGACAACTCTCCTTCGCGCGTGTGTTCACCATCTCGCAACACGTCCTCCAGCCCCTTCCGACCCTCCACGCGACCCTCACATATCCACGGCTTGCGGTCCCCCGCAAGGCCCTTCACGCCCATCCGCCATCACAGCTCTTTCACCGACTTCGCCGCACGGTCTTCGCCCATCCGCCATCACAGCTCTTTCACCAACTTCGCCGCACAGTCCTCGCCCATCTCCACGCCGCTCGCCTCACCGCTCCCGTCCTCCCCCGCACTCAGCAACCTCGTCGCAGACGCGATTACCTCCGCAGGCACCATCAACTCCACGCCCTCGAGGGCCGCGTTGCCGCGGGGGAAGCGCTTCTCGCCCTATCCCGTCTCCCCGCCCCTGTCCCCGCCCCTCCCGCGGCGTGCGATGGCATCGCCGGAGAAGTCTAAGCGTGGGACTCCTGGGTCGCAGAGACCGAGAGCGAGCGTGAGTCCGGGGGGTCAGAGCTCGGGCAGCTCGTCCGTCGATGTGGAGTCGCAGCTCACGCAGTATATTGATATGTCGCCGTCGCCGCGACGGTATGTGAAGCAGGCAGGGTCGCCTATACCAGATTTGTACCCTCAGCTACGTACGGAGGCGCACTATCAAAGTCCTGGTAAGTGAGGTTTATCCTGGCAAGCCTGAGAATCGACTTGACGGACGGATCACTACGCAGGCATCTCAGACAAGTTGCAGATAAAGTCATATGAAGCGGACAGCACAGTACGAGCTTTCAGCTCAGGAACTCTGATCATCTATCCCAATAAGATGGAGGATGTGGATGTGGATCAGCCGGACGCATAGGGCGCGCCTTCCAAAGCACAACATGTTGAGGCGTCATCAGCATTCCAACAAGGTTCGAGTTCGGGCCTCCGTGCCTCTTAGACGTATTGTGCATCTTCTGGGACACAGTCGCTGCAGACACAAGCACCGCATTACACGTTACACGCCAAGTTCACGAACAGAACTGCTTTATAACGAGAACACGGGAACTCTACATTTTCACCACCCGGCGCCAAGAAGCTCGGCGTCAATCTTTCAAATTCCGCACCGGATTCAGAACGTCCATGCTGCTGACGTCGTTACCATGGATACTCCCTGAAACCTGTACTTTACACAACAGTGCTCACAGTGAAGGCGGCATGCCAACAATGTACGATGTATCAAACAACAGTTATCACATTCATGTCAGCTACACAACCAGGTGGGAGAGCGACAGTCTCCAATAGCGATGTGGGGGACACAGCATGAGCAGCTAGCGCTCTGGCACGAGAGATGGGCGGACGTGGCGGCCAAAGCACCACTGGCGCATGAGAGTGATCGTCGGGGGAGGGATAAGCAGCAATAAAATCGAACTACTACGTATACCGAGACAGCGATAGCGCTAGTCAAAGTTAATAATGTAATATAGACGTGCAGGGCGGACGGGCGGAAAGGAAAGAGCCCATGCGCCGGGGGGTATCTTTATCGCTTAGTGGTGGTGGCTGCGGCGGTGGGCGCCAAAGATGGAGCGGCGGTGGTGGTCTGCCCTGCGTGAGCTGGAGCTGAACGAGACGGTCGTGCCAGACGCATCGAGGTAGCCGCTGACGAGACTCCGCGTGATCGCGGTCGTGGTATAATCCCATTCGGTGAGCTCGGTGATCGTGATCGCGTCGGTCTCCACGTCGAAGATGACAGCCCACGTAGCGGAGGACGAAGTCGGGCGCGCAAAGTACTCGGCGCTGCCTGTGCCCGTCGCTCCCTTGAAGGAGTAGATCTCGGAGATGGCCTGAGTCGTGTCCGAGTTGGCGAGCACCTCGAGCACGTCGAGTTCACCGCAGCCGCCGTCGCCTCCCTCGCCACGGCAGTTGCAGCCGTACTGCGCGGCGCGCACGACCTGCGCATTGAGCGCCCAGATGGCGGGGATGTTCGCGCCGTCCGAGTCGGGCATGTCGAAGGTCATGACGATCATCTTGGAGCCGGTCCAACCGTGGTTGGAGGTGCCGCGGGAGAAGCCGTCGCACTCAAGTTCTTCACAGGTCGTGGAGGTCATGATGTTCTGCATGCATTCTGGGTGAGTGACACGCAGGCAGTTCGGAGGAGGGAGAACGCACGATCTCTTCTCCGTCAGCGAGAGAGCCAGATGGGGTTCCTTCGGCAGAGGCAGCCGCACCATCCCAGGTGCTGTTCGCGTACGACTGGCTGCTTCCACCACAGACGGACCAGACACCGCTCCCGTCTCCTCCATTGTTGTTCATGAAGACGAGGTTGTTGGCGTCACCGCCAGAAGCCCAAGAGCTGACCTGGCTCCAGGTGGACGCGGACTGGTTGGAAGGCTGATAAACAGCGACGTTGTAGATGTTCATGGGACCGCGGAAGGCCATCGTCACTTCGTCATCGAAAGGAGCGAGAGCGCCTGTTACGCGTCAAACGTTGAGCCAAGATTCATATTCGCCAGCATATGGACGCAAACGAGAAGAGCGCCAACTCACCGCTGACTGCTTTCGTGGACCCCACACAGAAGTCGGTGATCGTGCAAGAGGGCCACTCTCCCGCGACCAGATCAGTGATCTGGTTGTACGAGCCCGAGGCGCCGACGCCGGTGTACTTGAGCGCGGTAATCGCGTCGCTACGACGCATGATGTTGGACGGGGTGAGGGCGTGCGCCCCCAGAAGGAGGGTCGATGCCGCGACGAGGGACGAGATCATAATGACAGTGCTGTACGACGACTAGTAGAGCGAATGTGTGGGTGTCGAAAGAATGTGGTGTCGTCCCTGACGAGGTCGACGGCGAGGACGCGCGGCAGATGTAGCGGACCGTTGGGAAGGAGAGAGGAACAGACGTGGGTGTAGCAACGGGCGCCACGAGGCTTTTATACGCCGAATTGCTGGGCGCGCAGCGACCGCGATGGCTTGCTCAAATTTGGGAATACTGAAACGCGTTCCTGAGTCGTGCCCAGGCCATTCGGCTCATTGTTTCCGACCTGCCTTTTGCGTGCGAGGTGTTGCTAGGCTCTCAACGTCAACGCCCACCATCCTACATGTATCCAACGCTCGCGGAAAGTGAGGAAAACGTGGTGGAATCATGAAAATAATCTTACAGACTTGCGGCGAACTGCGTTCAATGGAACTCTAACGGACAGCGCCCGGAAAGAACGAGTCGGCGACCGCTTCCCGCGGCGAAGTCCTCTGGCGACGCCAATTTATGCGAGCCTACTGCTTCGCGATGTAGCAGCAGCAGCAGCATCCGATCTGGAGGGTCCCCTGCGCGCAACAACGTTTTCGAGTCGCCAGGGGGGCGCAATCAACGCATTCTCGCATTGGCTGTACCGTGGCCACACCTGATTCGGCCATAAACCTGCACCCAGCGCTCCCTTCTCCACAAGTGACTCGGCGAGCTGTTCTATATTGGATGTTCGCTTGTCACTGCTGCTGCCGCAGCATTCTGGCGCATCCCAGGATGACCAGAAGCGCGGACTCAGATCATGATGGCTTCCAGCATCCGCATCAACTCTCTGGCAGACGTTTCCATGCTGCGGCTGCCAATGACATCGCAAGCAGCGACGTGCGTGAGTGGTGTGCGCCTCCGCAGAAATTCCGTCCCTGCTGCTGAATTCAATGTGAACGGCACGGCAGTATCCGGCGAAGATGCGCATCCCACGGCTTCCCACCGAGTAGATTTCGCATCGAAGCTGCGGAGGTTCTGCTGCATGGAGACGATGCGGAACAGTGGTATAAAATGCTCGCTAGTGCGAGCATCTTCATATTGAACATCGCGGAAGCGCATGCTCTTCAATTGTGAAAATCCGGCGTGCAATCGATCTCGTGAAGTACGTTGCAGACGTTCGTTCGACCTTGATGGGATCAGGATGATCTGCATGCCCATCATTCATCACACACCCAGGATCCGCGGCCGCCGGCCCTGAGCGACCTCTCTATTGTGGGAAACGCAATTCGGTTGCGAGCAAGCTGTCACTGACAGCTCGGAGCATTCACCGGTCAATACGAACAGCATTAGGGATACCTGCCTATCCTATGAACTGATGCTTCTTGTGGAACAAGGAATCCTCGTCGGACCAGCTGTCCCGCAGAGTAGAGGCCAGATTACGTGAATCGCGGGTGTGGTTGTCTCGCGCTGCCCATGTGTTGCGAAAGGAACATTTCGGTCGGGACTGGAATCTAGTAGCCTGTGTGTGTTGAAGCGGAGGTCGCGCGTTTGGCGTGGATGTTATTGATGAAGTCGGCACTTTTGCTTGGCTTGTTGACGGAGATGAGTATAGACATGGAGTCTGGTGGGACGCGGCATCTTCATCTCCGTCGAACGCAGTGGTTTAGCTTAAGGACGCCTATTAAGCTGCATTCAATCTTAATACAGATGAGCACAAGAAAATCCCGAATGGACGGTTTGATTTTGTTTACTTCTACGTTCCCATTGAGGTTGAGCTAAACCGCACTGGCCGCCTGAAGGTCATTCACCCAATATCAGGATATCAATTGTCGAAGAGAATTCGAGACAAGGACAGCGATATGAGATCAGGGGTGAGGAGCGTTTGAACGTGTAAAGGCGAAGAAACAATTTCCAGAGCGCTCACACCTGCTCACACTCGTTATCTAATCTAATTTACCGCGTGAGCTCAAGAAAGTACAACGTAAACGACATGCCACAGTAGTCACTAGCTAGCTACAAACCTACGATCACAGTTGTCTACTTACATAGTCGTCTCGACATTAGAAACACTCCATAATGAATGCTTCGATGACCGCGTATCATAACTCGAACGATTATAACCTTAACCCTGATCTTCGGTGGGATCGTTATCTGGTGGCGCGAGTACCTTCCAGTCACCTTCAACGATATTGTCGACTTTCGTCTTGGAAACTCGACAGCTGCTTGGCAAGCCTTCATCGATTCATCATCCGCTAGCTGACCTTCGTTAGCATTGCATTTTAGATGCACGATTGTCTCCGTATTCGCGAAGTTCTCGAGGTGATTATTGAACATGCCTACTATCAGCAAGATGCGCGCGGTGACGAGACGGTCGGGACACAGACGGTCCTCGCACTAGCGTTGACATGTCGGTCGTTTCTTGAAACGGCCCTGGACAAGCTTTGGGAGACGCAAGAGAACCTGGTGCCCTTGATGAAGACTCTGCCGCGTCATGCGTGGATTATCTATGGGAAAGACATTGTGGTCAGTGCTATTGACCTCTTGTTTGGTGGTGGTTCACTGAGCATGCAATACTACGCTTATTTTTTCCATTATGCGGGGTTCAGACACTAGTTTTTCCTCTGCAACCAGTCGACTGGAATCGGTTCGATTCGTATGCGAAGCGCATTAAAGTTCTCGGGCTCCACAGTAGGCATACGCGGCTACTGCTCAACCTCAGGCTTCTCGATGCATTCATCGCCCAACATCCAGAGGACTCCCCGCTTCTCCCCAATTTACGCCGCCTCCACTGGGCCTCAGATAATATGAACAAACAGGCCTTTTCCTATGCCAGGCTGTTCATCGTGCCGTCTCTCAAATGTCTACAGCTTGACTTCGCGAGTCATTTCCGCATGGTTGACGAGCAGAAGACGCTTTCCTCGTTTCTATATCTCGTCCAACAGCGCTGTCAGGCCTTCACCACATTTGCGATAGACGTAATTCCTTTCGATCGGCTGTCGTCGATGTCTTTGATATCATCGTGGGCGAATCACCGAAAATACGTCCCGCGCCTCTCTAAGCACGACATCATCTGTATTCTGTCCATGCCATACTTGCGCGAGGTCCAATTATGGATTGGGTCCATAGAAGACATCCCAGCCATGTCAGAAGTGCCCGACACTGGTCCCTCACCATCTTTGAGAGTGCTCAAGTGCCATTGTCGCTCACTGGACATCGCTCGCGCCCTCCTGGATATCCTCCCGCCACGATGCCTTGAGGCTCTGAGCGTGAGCCTCGAGCAAAGGCCTCAGCCGAGGCTCCTTCGCGAGTTTTTCCTAGACCTGCAGCAAATCTGCTCACCCAAACTGCATGCGCTCCAGCTCTTTGACACCCAACAGCCCGAGGTTGCGGTGTGGGAGCGCTCGCGTCGGCACCCCCAGCTTTCTGTCGGCGCAGAGACCCTCGCTCCCCTCCTTGCGTTTTCGCAACTGCGCATACTCGAGATCAACTGCTCGAGCTTATACCAGCTGGACGACGCGGCATTGATTGGGCTCGCGCGGTCGTTCCCACTGCTGGCGCATCTAGAACTGGGCGTGCTGCATGGCTGGAACGGGCCATCGCAGGTGACGTTCAATGCGCTCAACATGCTGAATGCTCTCTGCCCTGATCTTCACAAGCTTGGGCTCGCTTTGGACCTGACCTCCGCTGCGGCTGGGATCACTGGCACGGAGTGCGTCGAGCCCTCACAATCCGCGCGGGTGCCCAACGCGCGCATCACGCGCGTACACTTGACAGACTCGAAGATCTTGTACGCGGAGGCAGCAGCTGTCGGCGTGCAGCTCGTGACGCTGTTCCCCAACCTGATGAGGATTGCGACCAGGCCTTTGCCCAATCCGCAGACAGAGCCTTTGCGCCCGTTCGCAGAGGAAGAGGGCGAGAGAGAGAGCTTGTGGCAGGCTGTGGCGGATAAGTTCTGGCGAAAAGTGGAGGCAGAGGTCGCAGCCCGCCAACGCCGTCGCGTCAACATTCCTTCGCCTTTGGTGAACTTCTGCGGATGAGTTCTTGTGCGACGTTGTTGAGACCATGGTTGTTTGTCGGAATCTGGAAGGACGCTGACTTGATAACGTTTGCACCATTTCCCGGTCATTGCTTCATTTAGTGCGTTCTCTGCTATTTGCCAGTCGAACCTCATCATACCTTCTGTACTGTTCCTCCTCGGATGGAAAATGTTGTTCTTCGTACCTGCGATAGTAAGCTTGTCCTGCTGTCTTTCTCGATATCTTACGTTTTATCTGTATATCAATGAAGGCACGGGATTCTTTGTATACTATCAACTGTTTCAAAATAAATACCCACAGCGCTGTCTGACGATCTATTCAAGGGCAGCCGGTGTTACGAGTTGAGCGCTGCAGCGCTGTATATTTTCTGTGAAATCTCGTTAGTGATCTCCGATTTCCTGGTCAGAAAACCATCGACAGAAGACCTCTCGGCCAATATAGTAGTATCTGCCTTGACAGATAGCGGCAGTGTCGTCGACCAAGTAGGCAATTTCTTTGAATAAGTCCATGCCCTTCATATCCCCGTCCGGTACCGGCGGCATATGCTGCAGCGTTGAAGTTAGGGATGTATTCTGATGGAAGTTTGGGAAAGCCAAGGATTGCCGTAATGATTTCGTATTGAGAACGCCGAAATGGATGCGCGCGCGGTTATACGTCGCCAAGAGAAAACTCTATACATTCTCTTATAGAAACTGGTGACACATATCAATCGTAGGTCGTACGTGTAATGAATTGTAAGATCTTAGCTGGCTTTGTATTACTGAAGATGTGGTCAAGAGTAAAACCGATTGGATGTACACTACGCTTTCCATAACCGGGTGTGAGTGCTTCGGCAAATTGCATAGCCCAGTTTGGTCACAGCAGCTTAGGTGCGTAGCACTGCAGCAGCAGCGAACGAGGAGATCTTTTCCTTATACCCATTGCACTGCGTGCGTCGATACTTGCTACTGTCCATTGTTCGATACCTGCTTCTCCAACTGGCTGGTCTGTTGGTATCTGCGCGCGCTTCGTAGCGGTCGTAGACTATATCCGCAGTACCGACATCATAGTGGACATCAAGCACAGGACGTATACCATTCCGAGTTTGGAACTTCTCATCACCCTCCTTTGCTACCAGACTCTCCTTGCTCTGAAACGTCGACATGGCCCCGCGACGTGGGGCATCGTCCAACTCGCTCAGTCCTCCGGACATCACCTTCCCTGGCTCGGGCGGCACATCCCCTGGCACGTCTCCTTCGTCTCGCTCTGCCTCTCCGGCGAACGGTTTCACGCAGTTCCTTACGCGGCCAACGAAGTGGTTCAACCGATCTACCTCCGCAAATGGGGGTCGCAACTCTGTCAGCTCGAATGAGCCGCGGACGAGCACCAGCTCGGGCGCGACAGGGCGGAAACCCAAGATCTCCCACCCCACTGATCCTCGCCCTTTTCTGGAGAACCTGCGTACGCCAACGGATAAGAGGATGACTGCTGCCAGCAGGTGAGTGATTCAGGCGTTTTCATGTGTTAGTGACCTTCGTGGACAGTTTCAGTAGACGTGTCACTCGCTCCTTGTTCTATGGTTGCTTCATGTAGTTCAGCAGTGTCATATTTTCACGATTCCCTTGACTGCAGAGCTGAACTATGGCACTTCGCAGGTCGGTTCTCGATCTTTCTCTCACGCACGATCACAGTGCGTACGACGAGTTGTCCGGAAAAGCATCTCCTCGGACCTCTTCGTCCCCCTCTCAGCCGGCCCTCTCCCGTGGTCTCGGTGATCTGCGCAACATCTCCCGCAAGCCATGGTCCAAGTCCGCCGATGACCTTGGCAAGCTCTCTTATCAGAGATCCTCCCCCATACTAACGCCCATCGACACGACAATTCATGACAAGATCGATCAGTATAGGACCAACAGAGGTGGAAGCGTCGGAAGCATGAGCAATGCCCCCTCGCCTACTTCATCATCTGTAATGTCAGCGCAGAAGAACTACCCTTTCCCCGTAATCTCGCAGTCTCCGTCTGAACCGCTCTCCGCTTCTCCACCTTCGCGCCCCAGCATTCAACTTGCTACATCCTCTCCTACAAGTACCACCGGTGCCGCGCTCACTCTTGTCACATCCAATGGTAGCGGCCACGTCCATGCACGTTCTCATTCCTTCACGCCTCGGCTGACCTCCAAGCTCGCTGCCCCAAAGGTCGCCCTCCAGCCTCCCCCCAGTCCGCGGCAGAAGGGTTCGGCAACATCTGATCGTCAGACAGATAGAGACCGAGAGAAGTCGTTGTCAGGCGGGAGCAGCGCAGCGTCTGCGCGATCGCCGTTTCCCTTTAGCCGAAGCGGGAGCGGAGGGAAGACTATATCCCCCGTCAACGTTTCCCCTTCCCGCGAACTTGTGCCGCCTGCCTCTGTCTATCTCGCTCCGCCAAAGACCGACTCGCGGAGTGATGGTTCTGGCTCCAAGTCGGAGAAGCGCACGTCACAGGTGGTGTACCATTCGGGATTTGTGAACAGGCTCGTGGACTTCTCCCCTGCGGTGATGAACATGCGTGCCAACTACTCGTATATGAGCGGAGGGCAAGGCGCGTTGTCCAAAGGATGGAAGCCATTCAAGCTGGTCCTGAAGGGCTCCAAGCTGTATTTTTATAAGCCTCCCAGCGATCGCAGTGCGGCGGTGAAGGAGCTGTTCGCCACAGAACTAGTCACGCTGTTTGAAGACGAGGGCGTTGTCAACGGGGATGCCGAACAACATGACACTCAAGAAGGGGGTGTAGAGAGGGGCGGTCGGCTGCGAGATCGACAGGATATGCACAAGCGAAGAGCGTACTGGGGACGAAACACGCATCCATCGCTGCTTATCGCTGCAGGTCGTGTCCAGGGAGGAAACCTTGAGGCTCTTGTTCACGAAGCTGTCTTTGCCACGACATTTCCCGACGCAATAACTTCAAAACCGGAGAGTGTCGATGGTCAGGGATCACGTGTATCTGACAGTGAATTGAGGGAAAATTCCCTCGGGCTGTCTGAGAGTCAAGCTAGTTGGTGTGAATTCGCGGCAACAGTCGTGTTCAGCTCACCCGTACTGGTAGGCCGTGGAGACTTCGAGACAGAGTTCATGCGCTGCTGTTCGAATTTTGTCAATGGGGCCGAAGAGAAATCGAAGGACGACAGTCGCGCCAGAGTACGCTGGCTAGCTGCTCAATACCTCACATACTACGGGACGCCCTTCAACCGAGACGCTTGGGAGAATTGGCGGAAGGACTCAATCCCGGACTTCCCTGCCAACTTCGAGGCTACTTCGAAATTGGGAGGAATCCCGCAGACGTCATCGATGCAAGCGCTATATACTGCTTCTCCTCAGCTCAATCCTGCAGGAGCTGGTGGCTTAGAGCTCTCCCCTGATTTAGGCGCGTTCTCCCCTCGACCAAACAAGATGATGTCAATCGTGGAGGCACTTGGAGAACCTCCTTCCATTGCAGGCATGGCAGCAGTCCGAGCGACCAAGACCCTCCTCGCTTCGCTCGAACGCGACGGACTCACGAGGGATATCCTCATAAGTTTGGACGCGCAGCTGCTGGCACATAGTCTATCGGTATTCAACCAGTCTCTGTTCAAGAATGTGCCCGATAACCTGACCGTGGATCTATGTCTTGGAACTGATTCTCTCGCTCCTAGTGGCATTGCTGCCGGACGTGGCCAAACAACCTCTCATACAACATTTGCGGCTTTCTTCGGCCGCGATGACCAACCTCATTGGCTCACTAGGATGGTCCTGGTCCAGATACTAGTTCCCGAGAGCAGTGGGTCCTCGACTTCACCGACTGTCGGGTCCGAGGAACGGCATGCTCCCGCTTCCCGCACGTCTACTCGGGCAGGAGTTATCGCTGCCTGGGCAAAGGTCGGCGAGCTGTGCCGCAAGACAGGAGATGAGTGTTCCTGGCGGGCGATATTTGCTGCTCTGTGTTCGCGTCCTGTTGCACGTCTAGAAAGAGTCTGGAAGCGCGTGGGTCCTGAAGTTATGTCGTTGGTTCAATCCTGGGTCCATGTCGAAGAGAGGAGCGGCGCCTCGCTATCGGGCACTCCACTGGTAATTCCATGGGCGGAAGATTCTAGGCGTCGTATCAAGGCATCTCTCGAGAAAGCGCGCATCGATGGTCAGAATGAATGGAGGATTGAATCTCTGTCTGATGCTCGCGCGCGCTTCGAAGCGCTTCGGACCACCTTCGCTTTGTGTAGCAAGCAGTCTGTGGCAGACAGTTCAGAGGAGACCCACGATGTCGAGGCATTGACCGATTTGTGGCGAAGTTCATTTGAAGGACGAAGCCTGAATGCGATGGCGTCGAAATTTGTTCGGTAAGTGCGACGTATATATCTCCAGCTTTGGCACTCAATTCGCAATGTCACACAGCATCGATCAATTCATGTCTTTGTCGCTTGCTGCCGAGCCTCGCCGCAAAGGCCTGTTTGAACCATTGTACTGGGCCCGCACCAATAGCTCGCCAACGTTTCACCCCTTGACTGCAGTCCTATTTCCCGAGCCGTTACCCGCGGTGACGTTCATCAATAGAGAGCACTTGTTCCGCGGTCGCCTGGAAAGCAGTGCAAGCATCAGTATGCAGGATCTGCAGAATGCACGCGAGATCTGGTTGAGACCAGCAGCCGATGGCTCGATGCGAGCACAAACATTCAAGTCGAATGGTTTAGACCTGCGTGGCACGGTCCTCCCGGTTTTCGATGGCGATCTGCTGCTCCTCGTCCAGCCTTCGCCGGAGCCAACATCCTTGTCACGGACGACGTCCCGTTCACGTTCACGACCCCCAAGTTTAGTGGCGGAATCCTCCAAGACAGAAATGAGCTTGAGCCGGAGCCCTTCTATTCGTGTAACTCCAGGGTCTCCCCCGAATTTAGACAGGAAACCAAGTGTGATTAGGCGCAACTCTCTGCCATCTATATCGCAGCGGACTAGCCTCGTCATCTCCGAGGTGAATTCGGAAAAGTCTCTCCGCGTTGTTGTGCAGGCTGGTACACTCGATCGATTGGTGGACATCCTCGTGCACGGTCTTCCAGGCGTCTCCGTCTCTGTTGCAGATGACAATGGAGAAATGCCTCTTTCTGATAACAAGACACGCGAAGTCAAAGTGGATATGGACGACTTCTCGACTATATGGTGGAGTGTGTACAGGACTTTCGTCACTCCTCAGGTCCTGTTTGAGGTCCGTCGTTTCCAAATGTCGTACAACGGAGCCCATTCTTACTTGTTTTTAGCTGCTACGCAAGCGATACTTCAGTGCACGCTTATCGCAATCACCGACGGTGCGCGAGGTTAATGATGTAGTCCGCCGACGTTCTGAGATTCTTGAGACCATGAACGAGTGGATCAATCGTGGAGGAGGCGCGCAAGACGTACTCGATGACTTACAGCTGCACTCGTCGTTCGAATCCTTCCTTGCCCATTGCACGGAGGAGCTATGGCAACATCTACTGGATGACGACGCACATAAGCAACGGTCTCTCGGCCTGCTGGAGCAGTTGAAGAAGACCCTTGATTTGACATTCCGCTCGCAGACAATGAGGCCCACTCCGGTCCCCTCGTTGCAGGATTCCATCATTGAATCAACAAGTAGTCAGAGCTTTGGGCTGGACGCTCCAGATATCGACCGCATCGACGCAGAAGAGCTCGTCAACAATTTGGATGCGATGGCATCTTCCACGTTCCGGAATGTCAGCCAAGAGGTAAGCCGAACTACTCGCAGAGAGCAAGATGAACTAACAGTCATGTTAGGACCTATTCGTGACCTCCGATCTACTGGAAGTCCAGTCAGCAGACAAAACGGGCTGGTTCCTATCTCGCGAGCCAAGTTCGATCTACGACGAAGTCGATATTCAGTTCATGGATTCCTACATCACCGAAGTCGAGCCTTCGACCATGATATCCGAGCTCGCTCAAGGATCGTTACACCGCATGCTACCACAGTCTATACGGACATGCGTACGAGCCTTCACCACATTGCGCAGATGGTTGGTCAGCAAACTGGCAGCTGCGAAGCTTGGCCTTCGTGGCAGAGAGTCCCGAATGGAGCTGATGCTCCGCGCCGTCGAGATTTGTCGCCTGCGGAATGCTGAATCATTTGCTGCCCAGGTGCCCTTGGCTGAGCGACCTTGCGTCCGGTCCTTTGTTGAAACGGTGTTGACGTCCGCTATCGTCAGTGTTGAAAGTCGTGCGCACTACCGCGCATGGCAAAATGTCGCGCTAGGACGCCTAACGACATGCGATACGCTAGCAGCATTGATCAGCAAACCAGCCATAACGTCTGTCGCCTCGCGTAGCCCTCTGACGGTTGACATCGGCTGGATCTTGGAGAGGATGGTGGAAGTCATCATGATGCCTGACGTGCTGGAGTCTGCGCAGGAAGGCGCGTCGAGTCTGGTCAACTATGATAAGCGGAGATCTCTTCATACCCTCATCTCCAGCGTATCTGGCTCAGCGGCCGTGCGCTCTCGACAACGCCGTATTATAGACAGGCGCGATCTCGAACGCCTAAGCACCATTGAAAGAGAAGTTTCCGCCATGTATTTTGATCTGCGTACCATCCGGGAAGAAGCTTACCGTGAAGCTACGCAAGCTGGTATCCTCGGCGCGAAGAAGATTCACCGTCCCTTCCAGACATTGGTCGCTCTCCAGCAGGAGAAAAACAGGCGCGACCGTCATCTACGTGATCGTTTGAGCAGAGAAAAGAGGCAAGAGCAGCAACAAAAGGACAAGCGAGAAGAATATCTGACGAAGGCGATGAACACTAGACGGCCACCTGCACCGACCCCAAAACAGCATCGGAACAAGAAGAGCGTTTCGTCTGCATTCTTCCAGCTCATGCGACCGATCTCGAGCGCATTCTCCTCTGATAGTATAGCATCGGCGATGAAACGTTCACCGGCTGAGCTAGATTTCACTCCGATGCACAAGCCAATTTTAGTGCTGAGCGTCGTCGACGCTCGGGTGGCTCAGTTCGTCAACAACGAGCGGTCTTTCACCTTCCAGCTCGACACTGAGGACGGGGGCCATTACCTTCTACAGGCTATTGGCAAAGCTGAGATGAAGAAGTGGATGGATATCATCCAGCATGTGTCGAATGTAGCCGCCAAGCGTCGTCTGACCTACCTCGGACAGAACTCTAAGGTGCAGCTTGCTGATCACCTTCTTAGCCAGCCTACCGCTGCCTCTAGAGATCCTCACGCTGGTGCGTAACGTGGATGTGACTGTTATTAATGCTCACGTCTATACAGTTTTTGGCGTGGAGCTCGACTTCCTGCTCCGACGAGAGGCGATCAATGGCGAGGTTCAACCTGGCACTATTCCTTCAGTGTTAGACCGCTTGATCGCCGAAGTGGAAGCACGAGGCCTTATGGAAGTCGGCATCTGTGCGTGGCGCACATGATGTACATATGATATGTCTGACGTCGGTTCTAGATCGCATCGCTGGTGCACACTCTGAGGTCAATGCTTACAAGGATGCTCTCAATAGAGGCGAGTCCGTCAGTGCACTTTGTAAGCTTATCTCACCGAATGACTCCAGGCGAATGGCCCATCACCTCTTCGACGGACATTCACGCCGTCTGTGACCTTATCAAGTCTTGGTTCCGCGTCTTGCCTGGAGGTATATTTCCTTCACCATCATATAACGAAATACTTGAAGCTGCAGGTAAGGGTTGCAGAAAGCTGCGGTTCACGCATCAGTTAACTAAGCGCGAGATGTTGCAGCACGAGATGGCGTCGATCTCCCGGAAAGGCTCTCTGGTGTTCGAAAAGCGGTGCATGCTTTGCCCGGCTCTCAGTTCGACCTCCTGAAACGCATTGTTGAGCATCTCGATAAGTTGGTAATTGTCCTTGATTGTCGACAGAAATGCTGACTTCGTCCTAAATTGCGTTTCAGAGTAACTGACTATGAGGAGAATAATCAGATGACGGCCGAATCGCTTGCTACCGTGTTTAGTCCCAACCTTCTCAGGTCACCGAATAATGATATCAGCTTGTTCTTCGCCAATATGAGCGCTGGCCATCGGGTTACTAAATTACTCATCGCTCATGTGAGCGGTGCTACATTTTCTACTGTAGCGTGATATATTTCACTGACCTCTGTTTATCATAGTATCATACCATATTCGACGATGAACAAGAACAAGAGGTTGATTTGGAGCGAGATCAGGACGAGTATGAACTCGAGGAGCCCATCCCCGAGGAGGATGAAGACGAGGACCTGCTGTGCAACAATGGTCCGCAATCTCCTGACGACGATGATCTCAAGCTACCCTCTCAGCCTCCAGTACTGGAGGTAAATCTAGGCAGTCCGCATTCTCTCTCCTTTGCAGTGTCTGCGTGAAATATCCGACTATACGTTATCATCCCGTGTGAAATTGGTCGCAGTGTATGTTGTGGCTCATGGACTTACGTTTCCTTGTGCATTTGCTCATTATGAGTCTGCCGCTTTACATATCAATGGTAGTGTACGTATAGTAACTCGTTATACCCACATGGTAGAACTACTCGGACTTGGGCTGCATCATGTTCGGTTACTTAATGGTATTAGTATGTCATAATAGATCAATCGCCCCTCTTTAACTCGCCACATTTTGTTCTGCGAGATGGAGCAATTTCTATATACCCCATTCATCTCATGGGGGACGAGAGGCGTGAACACCGTGCCATTTAAAACGCTGGGCATCTCAGCGCGCGCGTCTTGCCATCTTGTCGGTTCCCACTACCTCAACAAGCAACGCTCGAGCTGACTTCTGCAATCCTTGTACATCAGTCCATTCCACGTATCTTTGCGTACTTGCCTAGTGATGAGCCTGCTTGCCTGTTTTTACACAAAGGCCAAAGCCGAGTCCAGCGGTCCGTCGCAACAGGATCCGAGCTCAACGGTGCTTCAAGCGGGCTTTTCTAGCATCGTCCCTTTTGTGCACGTTACTGAGCATTGTGATGGATTCGACTGCCATTTTTCGGTGCAATCATTCTTCAGATAATATTGGCTGTCCTTTACATGATGCTGAGAGAAAGGCTTCGAGCCACAGTATGTATTATTACTGTCGAGATTTCTTTGGAACGTGATGGTTGACTGTCTGTATGATATTTCTCGGAAGTGCTCGTTCGTGTGGCCTGAACATGGCGATATGATGGGTTGTGGTGCATTTGTGCAACGGTCCAGTTCATCACGTAATGAACGGCATATTCATTGTAGCTGATTGTAACTGTACTCGTCACAGTTGCGCCGTGAGGAGCATAATTTCATGATCCGTTTCTTGATATTCTTCTTCGTCTGCGTCGATGGGGACATCATCTGCGGCCGCAACAAGCAAGTGTTGCAAATGATCCATAACCAGCCAGTACACGTCAAAATCCATTTCCGAGATCGGCGCTGGCGTCTCAGGGAAGTATGATGCCGAAAGACCTGGATATGCCCATGTCGGGTCCATTTTTCCGTACCCATACCGCAACGCCCACTGAGCCCTAAAGGCGCTGTTGTAACATTCAATCCAACGAGTGCAGCAAAGGCACGCTCGTTTGCAATGTCCAATTGCTTGCACGGTGCGCAGTTTCTCGTCGTATTGATTCGGAGGGTGCTGCGCGTCAATATTGAGGATGAGGCGTAGTTCGGGGTGGAGAGTAGTGCGCAATGTGAGTGATGCTTCTGAGCTATCCAATGAACTGAGGTGTGAAAGTGCATCAGGTAGTCTCTTCTCTCCCAACCCGTGAACGACCGCCTCCAGGAATGCTCGCGAAATGTTGTAGTCACCTTCTGCCGAGTGGGGGAATGGCTCTTCAACCCAGCGATGCCGGATTTGACTGCGAAGGAATGGGTCGCACGGGCGCTTGAAAAGGGCAGATGCGCCGTCTACATATGCGTACACGTTGAGGAGGCGGACTTTGGCCGTTTGTGCCGCTGTCTCCCATGCTTCATCGTAGACGCGTCCGTACACTGCGATATCCTGTAGGAGGGCTGAGTCTAGGAGGGCCTTTGAGGCTTCGATGAGCTCGGAGAAGTATTGCAGTGATGAGGGACTGTCGCTGAGATCCATATCGAGTGCGCTTAGGCGGGAGACCTTTGCGATAAGCAACCGGCTCCTTTCGTCCAGGGAAAGTCTTGAATCCAGCGAAGTATTCTGGACCTGTCCGGCGTGACGTGTGTCTCCTCCAACTATGGGAGCACCTGCAGACTGCACAGGCGTTCCTAACTCATAAGCGAACTTGAGAATGCACTCGTACAGTTTTCTTATACGCCGCTGTACTTTCAAGTTGCAATGCGTGAGGACAGACGGTATAATTTCAGCGACACTTGTGGCGCTCCTGATGGCAAGAACGAAGCATCAGCGGCCTTCCTCTCTTCGTCAGTGGGACCGCTGTGGTTTGTCGCTAGTACGAGTGTCCAGTTAGCATCCCGTTTGTCCAATGCTACGGCAAGGTCGCGGCCTGGCTGCCCCGTTGTCAACAATAAAGCGATCGAGTCAAGTATAGGCATCTCCACGTCCGCTGCCCGACGGTCACGAATATTCAACGTCCCGTACTTGCAATCTTGGCATTCAAAAGCGGCAGAATCGTTGTTGAGCTTCACTGAGAGTAGGAGCTGCGCGGAGAGCCTCCTTTGCTCTTCAGCGAGCCGCAACTTCACGGTTTGCTTGCTGATAGGCAATTGTGTGGGCATCCTACAAGATGATTAGAGATTAGTTTCGTGTGATGCCAGTTCCGTCATGGTTATGCACGTGGGGAACATTTCCAAGGGGTTCGAGGAATGGCTTTGTAGAGGGAGTGTAGAGGGTGATTCGCAGAGCTGCAGAGATGGTCGGGGTCATGTCACCTTTGGCTCCCCCTAGGCAGACCGATAGATCTCCTTTTTCCAGTGAGGGGAGGATATGGGAGATATATATCAAATATGCCTTGTAGTACGTCATTTCGAGGCCGTGTCGCCTCGTTATGGAAGTGATGAGACATGCCGAATAATGCCGCTGACGTGCCGCTGGCTTCTCCCAGATCCCATCGGGCATGCCTGCAATGCCCAAATCCAATGAATCAATATGTGCAGCAACTCTGAGAGATCTGCAGACATGTCTATGAGACCAGAAATAGAAGCTCAAGTCAACTATGAGAGAAAGAAGGGCATGTTCAATGGATATATGCTCTGATATGCTACAACGAACCTCAAGGAACCTCAGCCACCATACATCGCAGCCACTGACGTGTCATCCGAGGTCCAATGGACGCGTTTCGGAGGTGAAAGATGATTATATAACTCCGAAAGTGCGTACTCCGCTGTCACGGTGGGATTTTCAAATAGACCATGCTACCTTGAACCTTCTTCTAATGAACGGAGCCAGGGATCAGGAAACGTCCGACAGTGTTGACGTTGTTCCCTCGATAGTACAAGGCGCCCTAGATCTCCTCTGGTGCACGACTGAACAAGACTTGTTTCGGTATCAAGCAACGGTGCTGTGACCAAGACCGAATCCTGATAATGACTCTGAAGTCTCGGCGCATACCACAACCGCTAATTGATTGATGCCACACGTATATGACACGAGAAGGCTGGTCAATAAGTCTTACTTGGGTCTTATCGTACACTATTGACTCGACCTCCAATGTGCCACTGTGGTCCGACTCGCTCATGCCTATAAAGCCAATCTACATACAATAACTTAATGCTCAGACAGCAACATGGACTTGGAGCTTTCGTGTCAGCTAACGGCGCCTGTCGCTTTATGCCAATCCTCGTCACTGTCATTCTGTTTGATCTGGTGCCATGACCGACTTTCTGATGTACCAGAAGATGAGACCGGAATGTGAACCGAGAATGCACAGACTTGCATGAGGTGAGTTTCGAGCCGATGACAGTACTGGAAGCGGCGCGAGAATAGTACTTCAGAATTGAGATGTATCAGGTGCTCATATAAGTTATAATTGTTTTCCGCTGGAATCACGCTGATCGTTATTCACATTTCAGGTCTGCATGTTGGCGTTCTCACATGTGAACGACGATACGCGAACTACCTCCTGTCGCAGCTCAGACCAATTGCGGCCGAGCATGAGTGCGTAATCAGACTCTGACCTGATTTTCAATACATCCTGGGTCACTAACGAGCGTGGCGTATCCTTCGAGAGCACAAACATCCTCGTTCAGATTGATGATCATGGGATTTACAGCCTACGGTCTGAAGCAGACTCAAGGCCGACCGTATGCTCTTCTCCACGCACTACGACTTATTTTCTACTGTCCCTGGCGCTACAGACGAGGGCATGGGAGGTTGTAGCGCTGGACTTTGTCCGGGTGCTTGTCCGACCCGAAGCACAGGCTGGAACGGACGGTTGTTTTCTTCTTCAACCGAGAGAAGGACGGCTCGAACGGCGCATACACGTATTGGAAGGACCTTGGTCCAATCTCACCTCATCGATATAGGAAGGGGCTACATCAGGAGGGTGAATTCTTGACCGTAGCCACGACGAACACTGCCTTAGCTGGAACAGCCGAACGATAAATGCATTGCTCTTGTTGCAGCCGGAACTCCTGCAACTTCAAGCGCTGAGGAATACATTGTACTAGCTAGTCGCTTAACTGGTAAGCACTTAGTACATGGCGTTCGGCCGAAATTCGATCAACCTCAAATTTTGTTTTCTTTCCGCGGTTTATTCATGTTCATCTTCATTCCCCTAGTACTGTTTGTACATAAGCCCCGTTATGGACTCATACTGATCGCAGGGAGGAGTGTCGTTATGCTTTATAAATATGATTGTCTGAAATAGGTTGTACGTGTCGAGCATTCATTCAAGCTCGGAGGAACTCACGCGACTGTTGAAATTGTACAATACTTGCGTATAAATTGATCTTGTGAGGAAGCTAATTGAGACCACGAAGTGAGCAGTAGAGAGATCACATTGCCAACCTGAAGACATTTACACTTTGCGCTACATCATCTTCAAGTATGGACTGTCTGTATTATATAAGGGCTCCAAACTCATCGTTGCCATCTTCCTGATATAGAGATTCACTCTCCGGGACAAGCTGCCAAACCAGATGTACTAAATGATCCTCAATCGGGCAAGATACATCACAGTCTGGCAGATGCTTTGTATCCAACATGTCTGGAAAGGATTCCCGTGGGAGAGGTACAAGTGCCCACGTCGGGTCGATCTTCCCATATCCACGCGGCAAAACCCAGCGGGTATTGAACATGTCATTATATGCGTCAATCCACCGGGTGCAGCAAAAGCATGCTCGTTTGCGACGTCCGATGTACCGTGCTTTGACTCGACTCGACACTTTGTCAAATCCGCTCGGAGTCGCTCTCAAATCGATGTCAACGATGAGGCGCAGCTCAGGGTGAGGAGTCACGCGTACTTCAAGTGGTTCATCCAGGTTGCCCAAAGAGCCGCGATCCGATAGCGCCTTGGATAGTCACATTGCCTCGAAGCGCTCAGAAATAAGCATTCGATAGGCCGCAGAGATGTCAGACACCCTCTCCAGAGTCGACCTCGCCAACCCAACGGTGACGGATCTTTCCGTCGGGAAAGTATGTGCGCACATGTTCAAGCACAAACGACGCGCCGTCCCAATAAGCACACACTTTCAAGAGATGTTTCTTGAGCAGATACGCTGCCTTTCCCCATTCTCCGACCTTGTAACGTGCAGATTTCTCCACACCCTGTAGGATAATCGAGTTTAGGAGGGCGTGTGAGCTGTTGGTAAGCGCCATGGACGCCTGCAAGGATGACGATTCGTTCTCGGGGTCCAGAGTATTTTGCTCTGCAGGGAGAGCGCGGCAAGATGAGCGCGGTAGGTACCACTGAGATGTCGCACTTCCGGAACATCCTGAGCCAGGTTTTCGGCGATTATCTCCTCTTCGACTTGTGGCGCCCCTCGGAATTGCGCCACAGCCGTTTCAAATACAGCAAGGAATTGAAGAATGCATTCGTGCAGCTTATCGATACGCTTTTGCATTTCGAGATGGCAACAGGGAAGAACGACCGGCAGAATGTCGGGTGCATCCCTGGCTTCCGCGACGGCATGGATGAGGTCCGTAGCAACACACCTGTCTCTGGCGTCTGCAATGCCACTCTTTGCAAGCACAAGAATTGTCCCTCGGAAATGCCGATCGAAAGCTGCCGCGAGGTCATCACCAGGCTTCCCGCTGGTCAACATCAGAGCGATCGCGTCGAGGAAACGCAGCTCGACCGGCACGTCGCTTCCGCTGACGTAGTGCTGCCACTTGATCTTGCAATGTTCGCAGCTAAACTTGGGACCAGCAAGCTTCACGATCAGCTGGAGCTGTGCAGAGAGCCGTTGTTGCTCAGAGACTTCAGATGCCAAAGTCTCTTTGCTGGTATCGGACATTCTACATGGAACCAAATCGTCAGTCCTACATACAACAAGTCAATTCCGCCATGTCACATACGCATAGCCTGGAAATGTTCGCAGGGAGCTACTTGAGTTGCAACTTGCAGATGCTCACAGATCTCTGTCACATGGATCTTGAACCGCAACCACCATCTGCGTCGGCAAGCGCCCGGGGGTCATCCCCTGCGCCCTCTGCCTCTCTTGATGATTTTTCTGACCTGACCCCCTCTCTTACACTGGCGATACGCCAGGCTCTCCGACCTTGGTCGGCTCAGGGTCCCGCTGATTTACTCGCGGATCTCGACTCTGTCATCGACGCAGTTTTTGCGGTACAGAAGGCCACTCGACGAGTGTTGGTGCTGGCGGCTGGGCGCTGCAAGCACAAGCACCTTCCTCCTCTAATGTCCGAACGCCTCAAATCAGCCCTCAAACTTTTCAACCCGGCACCGGCCTCCCAAGCGGTGGTCGAGGCCCCGCCTCAGCCCGCCCCTCCGACCACCGGACCCGACCTCGCGGCGGCTCTCCAGGGCCTTCGCGCCGCCTTCGACGCCAGGCTTGATGCCTTGGAGACTCGAATGGTGACTGCGACCCCCCTGTCGCAGGCGATGGCCCCCCCTCCTCCCCAACATCAGGTACGTGGCACTCCGAAGAAGCGCTCGTACGCGGCTGCAGCCGCTAAACCTCGTCCGGCTCCTCCCGTGACGACTCCGAACCCGCCCGCTACCCCGAAGGCTCCTAAGCCCAAGCAGGTCGCGGAGCCCTTGCGGTACGTGGTTCGATTTGCTGGCTCCGCGCCGGGCCACTTGCTTCAGACTCCCCCTGCCCAACTGGTCAGTGATGTGAACGCAGCACTGGCTGCGATTCCAACTGCTGGAGGAATGGCTGCGCTTGCGGTCTATCCGAGCTCCTCTGGCAACATCGTCCTGGCCTTCCCTCCTGCCACCTCCTACCGCCGCATTGACGAACATCTCCCGACCCTCCGTGCTGCCCTCAAGCTCGACCCGGATCACCATGTCTCCAGGGATGTCAAGTGGTCTCGGATTCTCGTCAGCAATGTCAGCACCCGGGCAGCCACTGGCGGCGCTGTCCACTCGATGTCGACTCTGTCGACCGAGCTCGTGAAGAACCCCACGCTTGCGCGCCTCCACATCACCCAACCTCCGCGCTGGGCACGTCGACCTGAGCAGATCGACGGTGCTCGCTCGTCTGTCGTCCTCGGTTTCGAAGACCCGGATGGCTCCATCCTCACTGCCCTCCTTCAGACCCCCCTCTTCGCTTTCGGTACTCCCGTCACCACGTCGCGCTGGCGTGATAAGCCGCGCCTCCGACAGTGTACGAGGTGCTGGGGTTATGGCCACCTCGCTGCAGGATGCACGAAGCCGCCCCGGTGCCGTGTCTGTGCTGGCCACCATCTCGAATCGGTGCACCGCGCTCGGTGTGCCATGTGCGCGAAGGAGAATCGCGCCGCCTCCGAACCCTGCGCTCATGCGCGTTGCGTGAACTGCCGTGGTCTCCACCACGCCGACTCCGACCAGTGCCCCAAACGCACCTCTTTCCGGAGCGCTGGCCCTGCTCCGACCTCCTCTCTCGAGCGCCCCGCGCTGCCCTCTATTGGCGACTCGGATGTTGCTATGTAGGGGCGAGTGCGACTTTAATTTCCACCACGTTCCTTCCTTCTTCTTTTCTAGCGCCCCCGTCCGCTCCCCTCCGTCACCACAAGGCATGCCCGCACCGAATACGGGGTCAACATGCCGGCGTAGCAACACTTAAACACAGGGGATCAGTTTTTATCCAGCCTGCTGCGTGGTAGGGTTCGCCGCGCGTCACCCATTCATTCTGTCGATTCCCTCAGTTCTTTCCCTCCGCCCCGACATCTCTTTGGCTGCCAACTCACTCCGCCCTTCGGCCCGCCGTCGTGCAATTCACTAACCCTGGTCCAGCCGGCTCCCCCTCAATGTTCAACTGGTCACCATGTCCCGCACGCCACTTTGCCTCTGCGGTGAACGAGGACTGTTTGGTGGGAGTATCTTGGGGGTTCGATTCCCCTTAAACAGTGTTTCTAACGAGTCAACGGACTGACCGCGGCGCGGTTTTTGAGTGTGGTTAGGCATATGCATTTTGTTAGGTTATCGGTGCTTGCGTGGTCCATGACACAGCTTACCGGGCTTCGTGCCCTTCTACTATACGCCTGCTCTGTTGCGTCCGTGGGGACCTGGTGTCTGTACGTTAAGCTTCTTCGCCCCCAGATGCGTCTGGTCCTCCGTTGTTACAAGACATGTATTTACACACCTCCGACCGCCCCTTCGGGGTGGGATATAAATTGTATAAAAAAAAATAAAAAAAAAACAGATCTCTGTCAGGGATAAACAATACACATAGCACAGTCTGCATAGATTTATTTTTCCACGGGAAACCTGATGCAAAAATGGTGAAAATATCTTATGTCTGGATATGGAAATAGTTTGGAAATTGGGCGGAGACAATTAAATTATGTTATGATTGTTTTACTGAAACATATCAGCAATAGTGAAACTATTTCCCAAAGGAAGATATTTCAGTCCAAAAATATGTGATACTGATATGTTTCGGTGAAGCAATTGTAACATAACTCAATTGTCTCCACCCGATTTCCAAACTATTTCCATATCCAGACTTAAGATATTTTCACCATTTTTCCATCAGGTTTCCCGTGGAAAAATAAATCTGTGCAGGCTGTGTAGATTGCCGAATGGGAGTCGGCCCGTCCCGTTGCACTCCCCTTACTGTGTACACGGGAGAGGCCGGAAAACTCCGTGATTTCAGGACGAGAGCTATATCTAGGACTTGGTCAGCAGAACGATGGTGTCTCAGTGTCAAGCAACTGTGTAGCATAAAAGTTCGAGCTCGTCGGACTTGTGGGAAACATCCGCCGGATGATGCCGGATACTACTAGTTTGGTTGGTGTCATTCGAGTGCGCTACGCACACTCGTCCATTGTTCAGAGTCCCCAACACTCGTGCTGATTTTTGCAATCTTTGTTTTTCACTCCACTCCACGTATTGCGTAAACGCCTAGTGGCGAGCCTGCTTGCTTTCCGAAGTCAAAACTGAAGCCGTGTTCAACGGTCGGTCGCAACAGGATTCGGAGCTCAATGGTGCTTCAAGCGGCCTTTTCTCTTGCGTCGTCTATTCTGCCGTCAAAATACTATATACATGCGGCTGTATCGGCCGTGGTTCTCGTGGTTGTATACGCTTTTTCGCAAGGACGAGCTACAAACCGAGAGCGCGACCTACATGCTCGAGTGATCCTGGTTACAGTTGCGTAAACCGTTCCTCCATGGTCGTTGATCAGTTTTATAATCAACTACCATCTAGTAGGGTGCGTTCAGCCCGCTAGGGTTAGCTCTGATCACCTCTCTGGCGTCTCGAGGTGCCCAGATCATAGCGATATCCTCGTATCCGCTTGACCATGCATATCCATCCGTCTTGATACCCCTTCTCCGGTCGACAACCAACAACGAGAACATCTTTGCCGAACACGCTGAGCTGTCCAACCCAGCATCTATCCGTGAATTCTGCACTCGTTTTCTCACTGGACAAGATCAACGGCTCGATGCTATCGTCTTTGCTCATGAGTATCATGGAATAGGATCTCTGTTCAACGTGCGACGCAAGTCACAAGGCGTACCCAGCCCGGCCGAACAACGAGAGACCTCATCATTGGCCACGTTCTTGATGGTCACTCTCCTGCTACCCGCGTTACTCGTCGAACCCGTTGAGCGCGATATCCGCATAGTCAATGTGGTGAATCCTTTCTACGCTGCATCTGCCACAGTATTTGGCAGACAGTTCACATCGATCGATGCGAGTCGACCTTCATCCCTTTTCGTCCAAGAGGGAACTAGAGCTCTCCGCACGGCCGTGCTGACTCGCCATCTGCAGCGCGTGCTCGATTCGTTGCCCAACCGAGCTCCTGCTGGTGCACCTCCTAGCAACGTCACAAGTACGGAAACGAAGAATAAGGACAAGAAGATGCTCCAGAAAGATGTCCACCATCCCTCCAACATCATTGCCGTTTCCGTGAGCCCTGGCATCAGTCGCAAGGATACGATCGCGCCTTTGTTCGGTGCTGAACGAAATGCCGATGAAGGGTGGTCACTGCCAGGTTTTCTGCTGTAAGTATCGTTTCAAGAGGCTTGCTCTGATGCTGATCACCTCCAGATACATCGTCCTATTACCTCTTCTTGTGGTGATCACAAAGTCACCAGACAATGCAATCCAGTCGGTGTTACATGCGCTATTTCTCCCCACTCCTATGAAACGCGTCTTTGCTCAGGTCAATGCTGCTGTGAACTCTGCGCCGCTGCGGGACAAGCAAGAGGCAACAGAAAATAGAACTTTCTATGAGGAGGTGTTGAAGCCCGGTGCTCTCTATCGCGAGTGTGCTGTTGTGCAGGTGGCTCTGCCGCCACTGCCAAAGAGACCCTCTCCTCCAGCCGGGGAAAAGGCAGATAAAGGAAAGGCGAAAGGGAAGGCGAAAGAAATGGCTGGAGTTACTGAGACTGCATCGCATACTGGATTCACAGACGATGGAGAATTCGGTGGGGAGACGATGGGAAGGGCTGTATGGGAGTGGTACGAGGATAGGCTGAAGAAGTGGGAGGCACAGGCTAAGGAAAGAGCAGGGCAGAGGGAGCAGTCAGGGAAAGAAGGGCAGCTTGCAGGCGAAAGTTCGAAGACGAAGTAAGTTTTGGACAACCGTTGTGAAAAGGAAGATCATGGTGAGCCCCAGAGTAATTGATTAGCTCTGACCTGGCTGGGTTTTCCCTCGTGCAAGTATCATTCACGGCCTTTTCGGTCGCTAGGAATCTCGCTATCTCAGCATTGCTTGTAGTCATTCATCGTTTTAATGCAGTCGAGCTATTACTCATCGGCTCACTAGTCGTAGCTAACAGGACAGTGCACAAACTTTGTCCGATTACCGATCACCAATTTCAAAACAAGGAACGTCCGCCTGGTATGAAATACAGCCATTGCAGGGTCAAAATCCGTTCTCTTCCGTACTCCGTCAAGTTCTGTTAGTACACTCGACTTGCTTGCATACAGCTCAGTCAACGATCCAGTAAACGCCGGAGACGATGCCTTGAGTAGTGTTAGCGAATTCCTCGAACGCGATGGGCGACAATCCGACATTTGTGTCTGGGCAAGAGGGACAGTAGTCGACGATCTGCGCTGTCACATTGGTGCCATTATCTACAAAGGGATGATCAGCATCTCGTTTTCGAAGATCGTCGCTGGTCACGAACAAGACACGGTCAAGTTGTGCTGGCAGATAGGGTTGCTATGTGAGCGACGGTGAGCGTGGACGGCTGCTACAACAATAGACATCGGCCTACTCATTTGGATTGGACGTGGCCCCTCTGTTGGAACGAGTGAGTGTATGTTTCGATAAAAAGGGGGGAAAGACATTTACGGGTATCCGTCAAAGACCGCGGCCGATACAGATGCAACGTACTGGTCGCTAGTATTGTTGAAACCGCACGCTCCTACACCTGGTGTGAACCAGAACACTTGGAGCGGCTCCTGTCAGGCTTAGGCATGATCGAGGGAGTGTATTCTCCTTACACGTTCCCGTGCCATTCTGCGCCCTTGCGACACCCAGGAACAGCGCGACGGCAAAGAGAGAAGACTTCATAAGGACTGCAATGAGAGGACGCGTTAGCAGACACGGAAGAAGTCGCAGGCACGCTGAAAATTCTTCGTGAACGCCTCTACTTATACAAATTGCAGGTGCCAACGCCCCGTTGAAGCATCCCTGCAAGAACCACCGGACATGCGCGCGCATGAGACCGAATGTGACATCCTCAACTGATGAGGCACCCCAAATGTATCAAATTATGAGTCAACGAACGACGTTTCTGGACGGCTGATGCATGCAAGCAGTCGGAGATGTATCCGCCAAGCAGCCATTTTGACATCTCGAGGCATAGCGATGTCGGCCTCGACGCTGCATCATTGACTTCTTGCTTCCAATTCGAGTGCACGCCGGCGTAAGAAGTCCGTGGATGGCCAGGCGGAGTGATGGGCTATCCTTTCGAAGAGGCTTGTCCGGGGCTACCATCTTTACCGACGTCTTCAGCCATGTGCGACGTTGCCTCATGACCGTCCTTCAGCGTCCATCTATTGTTGAGAATAAGACAGCGTGGTCGGAATAGAAGTATGGCACTGCCACTTGTGCTCCAGCCTCCCAGGATAAATGCCCTGCAAAGCGGGAAGTGTCCTCAGGAGCGGATGAAGAAGGTTTCGTTCAAGTTCTCAGCGCAAGGGAGGAATTACCGAACGAGTCGTCAACACTAATGTCACGGCGACCACATGCATGTATGCTTCAATTCACATTTGTCACATCATGGTGGGAAGATCAAGTTCGCATCCTTGTTACCCACATTGTTACCCACAGCGTCGGTATGCCGTACTCCAAATTATGAGAATACTAATGCAATTTATTATTTTATAGAGTCCAAAGGCAGGTGTTCGGAATTTGGGTGAAGAAGGGCCTCAAGGACTTCTGCTTCTCAGTAGCCCCCCACGTATGCATGCCAATTGACAATATTGTCAATGCCACCCTGGCTGACAAGCGCGTCGAACACCGTCATGATCAAGTGAAAGGCATCTACACAGCGATTAACGATCTGCACTCCCAGCCGCCGATATATATTGTCTAGTTGATTTGGCATGATAAGCAAGTGGTGCATTTCGGCGTATATATCATCAGGCTACTTGCCGACTCACATACAGTTCACAGTTAAGTTGAACTTCCACATGAGACTCCTATGAAGAGAACAAGAAAGTGAACATGCTATGTATCATATCTGAAACCAACGCATAGCGTACTGGAATTTCGGGTGGTTTCACTTCATTTCAGAACATCTCACTAAGACGTTGTTGAGCCTATCATGATGATTACCATCAACTTCGTACAGAATACTATTTAGCAGAGATGAGTGGGACGAAGTCACTGATGGATTCGTAAAGCCGCATGTTCCGAGTGAACATGACATGTGAAACATTATGAGAGACTGTTTCCATAGGTATGGAGAGAAATGCTTGCGTGAGATTATGCGCATCAGATACTTCGCTACTAGACGCAGTGTTTCAAGATATTCATGTTTCGTGTGCGATATCAAGACATGCTATGCATGAGCAGCGAACGAGAGGCTAACAGGTCGGCTAGTCGCAATTGTTGATCCAGGTAGCACTGTGAGGCACTCGGCACTGCATTGAGGAGACGTATGATAAGCTCGTGAAGACTTCGTACGCGACAAGAGCGACATACTGACAACTTGTATTCGTAAAATCATAGGTTTCAATGCGAGGATTTAACCGGAACATCGCAAGGAGAAGTAGAACAGGCGTTTCGGCGCATTTAGAGCCTACAAATCCATCTGAGAAGGGCTAATGTTCCCCCTCCGTCTGTTGTTAAGTATATAACAAGTGTCTTACAAAGCGTAAGATACCTGCGACCGCTGAACTTTCAATAGCTCTTTAAAGAAATAAAAATATAATCGGCAACGCAATGCGGAGAGAACGTACACGGCGAATCATGTCAGTCGACAGACAAGAGAAATGCAGGTACGAGACCGACCGAAGAACGTGCCTGCTTTTGAACTCCAATGACAGTAACACACTCCAAGGTAGAATCTGTAGGGTTCCAGGGTATCGAGAGCGCATATATACTAGGAAAGACAGTCCGTCGAGTGCGTATTTGCCGAGGAACACAAAAGACCATGATATGACCCATTAGCAGATGTTCAGGCAGTCGTGTGAGGATACGGTGGCTTCCGGTCTCAATTGGCGGGTCTCAGAATGTTGCGAGACATCATAGTGGCCCATTCATGCTCAAAGAAACTGCAGTGGGTGTTGGGCGTCAGTACTTCAGTGCTCAGTGCTGGGCGTCGAGGTGGCGTCGAGTTAGTCGAGCGCTTATGAGACCCAATACGCGGGTGCGCGCCTGCTTCTCTTCCAGCTCTCGCAAAACGCCATGTCGCTCAAAGTACCGAAGGCGAACAACTTGCAGCTCTTCAAAGAAGGTTACAAGGTCAGTGTGCTATTACAATGCAGTTCCTGATAGGAAACGCTCAATCTCTCATTAGCAACTGCAAGGACTTGAAGATGCCGTATTGCGCAACATCCAAGCCGTCTCTGAACTATCTGATCTCGTTCGCACCAGTTTTGGGCCAAACGGTATGCATTCAGCAGTCCTGCTGCGCGAGAGTGGTGGCTTAAATTCCATGTTCTGCTAGGAAGGAATAAGCTGCTCATCAATCATCTCGGAAAGTTGTTCGTAACGTCTGATGCTGCAACAATCATCCGAGAAATCGAGATAGTGCACCCCGCAGCAAAATTGCTTGTCATGGCGTCTCAGGCGCAGGAGGCGGAGGTGTGCTGATTGCAATCTGCTCGTCCGCTGCCAGCCATCTGAATCGTTTTGACGACTCCTTAGATGGGCGATGCTACCAACATGGTGCTGATCCTCGCGGGAGAACAGCTCAAAAAGGCGGAACATCTCCTAGTGATGGGTCTCCATCCGAGCGAGGTTATCAAAGGTTACGAGCTCGCTTGCACGAAGGCCCTGTCAGAACTCGAAAGTACGTCTCTATGACACTGTTGCCATCTTCATCTCTCACGTCTCGCTGTATAGACCTCACCAAGTTCTCTCTTCCCTCACCGCTAACGCAGACCGATCTTGCTGCCGCTCTCAAGCCCGCCATTGCATCAAAACAGTATGGCTACGAGGACATGCTCGCATCACTCGTTGCAGAAGCTGCACTGGCAGTAATGCCACCAAATCCGAAGAATTTCAACGTTGACAACGTGCGGGTTGTGAAGATAATGGGAGGCAGTCTTGCCGGAAGTACGGTCGTGAGGGGTATGGTTTTCGGAAGAGAGCCTGAGGGTATGATCAAAAAGGTGAAGAGGGCGAAGGTCGCTGTCTTCACGTGCGGCTTGGACATTGCACAGACCGAGACCAAGGGCACAGTTCTACTGAAGAATGCTGAGGAGATGCTCAACTTCACGCGAGGAGAAGAGCAGCACCTGGAGAAGGTCCGTGAATTGTGTCCTGCCATATTCTGCAACTGATCGCTGAAATTTTCATAGATCTTCAAAGAGATCGCTGATTCTGGCGTGAAGGTCATCATCGCAGGCTCGACCATCGGCGAATTGGCACTGCACTACCTCAACCGTCTCGATATTGCCGTGTTGAAGGTCTTGTCCAAGTTCGAACTTCGCCGTCTCTGCCGCGTCGTCAACGCCACACCACTCGCACGAATGGGCGCGCCGACAGCAGAGGAAGCAGGTTTCATCGATGTGTTCGAATGCATCGAAATTGGTGGCGACCGCGTCACCGTCTTGCGGCAGCTTGTCGATGGCGATCCGGAGTACGACCCGTCGTCTGGGGAGAAGACACGGACGGCGACGATCGTGTTGCGCGGCGCGACGACGAACCGGCTGGATGACCTCGAGCGCGCGATTGATGATGGTGTAAACGTCATCAAGGCGCTGCTGAAGGACCCACGGCTGGTGCCGGGCGCAGGCGCGACAGAGCTCGAGCTCGCGCGGCGGGTGGAGACGTATGGTGCAGGTTTGAAGGGCCTTGCGCAGCATGCAGTGAGAAGATGGGCGAGCGCCCTCGAGGTTGTGCCCAGGACAATAGCGGAGAATGCGTTTGGTGGTGCCGAGGGCAACGAGATCGTCAGCCGGCTGTGGGCGAAGCATGAAGCGCCCGACGGTGAGGCGTGGGGAGTAGACGTCGAGGTGAGCGCTGGCTACTTCTCTTGCTATCATGAAATCATTAATCAATGCTGATACACAGATGGAAACCGACGGCACTCTGAATGCGAGCGAGCACGGCATTTACGACCCGTTAGCGGCCAAATCGTGGGCCATCCGACTAGCGACGGAGGCTGCGGTGTCGGTGCTCAGTGTGGACAGCATCATCATGAGCAAACCTGCTGGTGGGCCGAAGATACCGCAGCAGGCCGGCAACTGGGATGACGATGACTAAATGTACGGTACGGGTACCTACTACTGTGGTAGAATGTATACTGAGTTTGACGATCGCTCCATTTCCCTGTCTCGACGTCAATACGATGAATACATAATGCCAGTATCCTCTGGGATGGAGTTCACGGTATGTGAAGTGATGGCGATGTTACGCAGACCAGGAACGTTTTGAAGATGTGACCGATGTACAGCATGACCAATGTGAGACATATATGACTGAACGCAGGCATGGACCTGTTTTTGGCCTTGTAATATGCCCTCAAAAATCCTCCCTTGACATGGCAATGATCATGACCTTATGCTGATTTACCTCGAAAACAAAGTGACAAATGGGATCGTGTGTAGTGTTCGGTGACCCTAGACTGAATATCCTAGCGTGGATAGCCGGCTGCGGCGCCTGTAATATACAATGGGCTACGCGCGTGTTGCTCAGCGCGTATACAGGTGCCTAACCACGACACACTATGATCCTATTAAACAAGACACACTAGAGATCACTACCAGAGAAATCTGCCATCGCTCGGGGTTTTTCATCGTTGTCGCGAAGTTTGCCGGCCTCTTCGGTAAGCAACCCGGGGACACTACGAAAATCCGGTTCGACAACACATATCTATTGTTCATCTCTGGCATAGTGCTCTGTGAGCATCTGCCACTCAAGTAGCTCTCTGCAAATATTTTTTCGGACTATACGTATGTGACATGGCCGAACTGGCTTGTTATAGGACTGACGATTTGGTTCCATGTAGAATGTCCGATACCAGCAAAGAGACTTCGGCATCTGAAGTCTCTGAGCAACACTGGCTCTCTGTGCAGCTCCAGCTGATCGTGAAGCTTGCTGGTCACAAGTTTGGGTGTGAGCATTGCAAGATCAAGCCGTGCTACGTCGGCGGAAGCGATGCGTCGGGTCGAGCTGCGTTTCCTTGACGCGATCGTTCTGATGCTGACCAGCGGGAAGCCTGGTTATGACCGCGCGGCAGCTTTCGATCGATATTTCCGAGGGACGGTACTCGTGCTTTCAAAGAAGGGCATTGCAAACAGCAGAGACAGGTGTGTTGCGACGGACCTCGTTCATGCCATCGCCGAAGCCAAGGATGCAGCCGCTATCCTGCCGGTCGTTCCTCCCTATTATTGCTATATCGAAATGCAAGAGCGTATCGATAAGCTGCACGAATGCATTGCCCAATTCCTTGCTGTATCCGAAATGGCTGTGGCGCAATCTCGAGGGGTGCCACAAGTCGAAGAGGAGATAGATGCCGAAAGCCTGGCTCACTATGTTGCGAGAGTACGATAGTCTCTCAGTAATACCTACCGAGATCGCCTTGCCACACTCTCCCTGCAAACCAAAATCATTCTGGGCCCCAAGAACAAATCCTCATCCTTGCAGGCGTACATAGACCTTACCAAGAACTCATCCTATGCCCTCCTTAAATCGATCATCCTACAGGGTGTAGAGAAATTTGCATGTTACAATGGTGGAGAATGGGGAAAGGCAGCGTGTCTGCTTAAGAAACATCTCTTGAAAGTGTGCGCTTATTGGGAAGGCGCGTCGTTTCTGCTAGAACATGTGCTCGCGTACCTTCCTGATGGAAACATCCGTCACCAGCAAGCTACACTCCGGAAGGGGTCACGGTGTCTATGACATTTTTGAGACCTATCGAATGCTTGTTTTTGAGCACTTCGAAGCGATGGGACTATCCAAGGTATTGTCGGGTAGCTCTCTGGGCAGCTCGGATGAAACCCCTTGAAGTATACGTCACTCCTCACTCTGAGCTGCGCCTCATCCATCAGCAAAAACGCAAAACGATGACACAAGAAAACCTAAGTAGATAAAGCTCACCTGCCCGGCCAATTCCACCTGCGGAGGTGCTGATCGAGCACCGCAGACATGAAGCGATTTGCGCATGTGGCAAATGCTTAGCAAATGTCGACAGGTTTTTTGCCTTTGTGATCTCAATTTGCTACGGTTCCTTCCCACATTCCATATTAAGTATTTGCATATAATATGTTGGAGGCAGAAATTTAATATCATATATTTAAGAAATGACACCATTTTCAAACTCACCAAATACATTTAGAATCTGAGTGCTGTTGAATGTAATCATACATTTTTGAATTTCAAACTATGACATGTATAAAATATCCAGTAGCAGATGAAGGTGTGATTATGCCTACATTCTACTTCCCTACTGAAGTCATTCTAGCCAAGATTACTAGAATGAAAGTCATTCACCATAATTACACCTTCATCTGCTACTGGATATTTTATACATGTCATAGTTTGAAATTCAAAATGTATGATTACATTCAACAGCGCTCAAATTCTAAATGTATTTGGTGAGTTTGAAAATGATGTCATTTCTTAAAATATATGATTTTAAATTTCTGCCTCTAACATATTATTATGCAAATACTTAATATAGAATGTGGAAAGGAACTGTAGCAAATTGAGATCACAAAGGCAAAAAACCTGTCGACATTTGCTAAGCATTTGCCACATGCGCAAATTGCTTTATGTCTGCAGTGGCGTTTATGGTCAGTCGCCTTTCTGAACAAGGTGGCGGGTTCCCACGACCGGCAGACAAGCGGACGTGGCATCGCGAAAACAGTGTCAGGTGACTGACGGGCAAGTGCTACTTGGAATTTTGAAGTTTGAACGTTGCCAAAAGTTGCAGCATTCTTACTGTAAGCGCATTTGCTGGAGAAAGGCAGGCTCCTCCCCATCCATTTCTGGGAGTTTAAGGGAGGCCTCAATATTATGGGTGGGACTTCGTGCTTGATCCTAGCGCCACCTCAGCCACATTTCAGCCACAATATTCAAACTCAGCATATTTCAAACTCTAAACTCTTATTTCTTGCAGACTCTGTCACAGTTTTTACCTGACAAGTCATTATAGGAACGAATGCTATTAGAAGCATATTATTTTCATCATTTCGCGTCGAACAAGAAGTCACGTGACCTAATGAGAGATAAGATAAAAGGCATCTAGTCACATGACCTCGAATCTCTCTCGGCATTGTCACGTGACATCGAACTCTTCGGCATGGTATCATATGTTGCAATCGCCATGATGCCATATTGCGTGCTCAAGAGAAGCTCCGTCTCCGTGGGTTATTATTAGGCAGCCAATCAGGATAATTGGGACATGTCATACGATTGTAGCACTGACCAGTAGAGTAGCATGTGACTCGCTTACATAGTATTGTATAGTAGCTAGACAATCATGTATATAAGGACCAGCAAGACGAGGAGGAGACCTCAGTCTTATTCTCCTTCGTCCACCACTACCATCACAGAGGGGTCTTACCAGACACTCTCAGTGTGCTATACAATCTATTTGCATTCTCATCTTGTGATAGCGCCCTCTGCCTCGCCAGTAAGTCATACTCTGCGACTAGCACTCGGGCCTCGTCAGTGGGCACGTCATATCGCCACAGCTCGTCGCTGTAGGCTCTTAGCCAGGAGACCCTCAAGGGGACTCTCTATTTGGTTGTCTATCTTTGTCATCGGTGTGCTGTGACATTAGAATAAGACTGAGCTTGTATGCCCCTACCAAGTGTCTAACACTGGTAGCCGCACATTTTCGCCAAGAGATACATCCGCCCAGGGCAGGGCTTTTTCCACACCACTTCCTTCATACCACTCCATGTCGCCTCTACCACCTAAGCCGCTTCCTTCCTTCAAAAGGAACAGCGCTGCATCGACCGGCAAAGCGCCTCAAGTACACAACGGGATTGTTTCGCCCAATGGACGTTATCACCCTTACAGTCATGACCCCAGACGCACTTGTCGTCTAACAGCAAGCAACCTACTCATTGCAAGGCCCGACGACCCTCGCTCAGACCTACAGAAACTTCGCTCTAAGGTCAGCTTGTGGACCGAAGCAATTCCCAGAGACGCATCTGACCCATCCATCCCCATTTACAAACCTTACTGGTGGTCTAACGACGATGCCACTGCCGTACTCGCTTTCGCCTTCTCCCAGGACTATCACCCTTGTGGGATTCATGAAAATCCCAAAGGAACACTTCCCGAGAACATTGCGCTGACTGTATGCGCTACTATTCAGCGTTACAAAGTCTTGCAGCAGCCCCATATCGCTGCCAAATTCACGGAAGCACAGATTCAGTGTCGCGATCACATTCTGCGACATCTAGGAGCACTAAACGAGAGGATTGGACGAGGCGATGACTTCACGTTCGTCGATAGACGCATCGCCATCAAGCTTTGCGTGGGACTAGGAAAGATTTCGTTCAGAGGAATCAATAAGGAGCAGGAACGCATAGGGAGAGACATTGTAAGGTGTGAGAAGGAGTCGTGCTACTGGCCCTACTAGAATCAGTAAACATCTTTGTACTACCGTATCAGCAGTTTCATGCCCCAGTATCAAGTCGGTTTTGTATTCAGAAACTACGTGGTCAAGCACTACATCACCGACCTCTATCATCATTTGGTGTGCACGGGGTACTTCATCTATTAACCCCTACTATCAGAGCGATCCATCCCGCTTTATCATTACCCGGTTGACATCGAACATCGAGTCACCCTGCACACACCTTTCTGACTCATTGAAACAGACATCGAGATAATCGATCCAGTCTGTGAGTGGATAGAAAACGCTTACTGGGAACGTCTTGCTCGGTTGTATCAAGAAGACGAAGAACTCTTCTGGACAAACTGGTACAGAGACTTTCCAGAACAAAGACACCCTCACCCAACAAGGCTAGAAGAAGCTGCAGCACGAAGGAATCGTGTCATCGAACTAGCAGCACAATTACCGGGAGCCAATAATCAGCCCCAGTAAAAGCTCACCATTTCAAACACACTCTCCGTCGCCTCTTTTCCACTATCTTCAACATCGATTCTCATGTCTCAGTATAACCTTGGAGGCGTTGCGTTCCCAGGAGGACATACTGCAAGTGAACCTTCTGACCCATGGAGGAGTAACACCCCCTCCACATCATCTAAAGCAGGACCAGCTGCCCCTGCGGAAGAACTCCACAACAGCAGCACACCCAAGGCGTTGGGAGTAGTCAGAAATCTGTCGCCCACCACCCTGCCAGAATTCACCACATCTCAGACTTGGGAATGGCAGGGGATCCCTTACGCAACAATCGAGGAGGCTGCAGATGCCGCCGCACCTGACACCATTCTAAGAGACGTAAAGGAATGGACAATGAATGTGGTGCGAGCATTCATCATGTGAGACGTTGTAAGCTCGTATGAAGCATTATGTCAAAAAATGGATGAACGTCATGAGCACACGGTAGCCTCATTGGAAGAAGAGATCCTGGCCCGCATCCACGTCAAAATAATGGCGGTAGAAACGCGAGACCAGCTAAGGACCGCAAGAGCCCAGATCGGCACCCTCTCCACCGACAACGAACGGCTCATCAAGTCGAATAACAGTTTGACAGCCGAAGCCCAAGCAATCTGCAAGGACTTCGAGGATTACAAGGACAAAATAAAGGGCCAGATGGACGCCCTTTACGGCAACATGGTTGCCTTGAAGGAGGCACAGGAGAAGACCACTACCTACATCATTGGCTTAGAGTCTCGACTCAATAATGCCATTATCAACGTGCCTTCCCAAGGTATCTAACAACTGGCCAACCAATCCAGCCAATCGCCCCGCCGAATTAAGCTCCCTGATCCACCCAAATACTCGGGAAGGAAATCATCAGAAAATTTCGAGACTTGCTTCACGAACCTCCTCATCTGGCTCGATTACAACCACTTCACTGATGACAAGGACAAAATTCGGCAGGCCAACGCACATCCAGAAGGCGGAGCAGCTCTATACATGAAAGAGTACGCAATCAAGCTCACCTCCGGACAAGACATTGGCACATGGGCAGAATACACCAGAAAACTGGAGATGGCATACAAGATGCTTGACCCCAAGTGCACGGCACAATCATTGCTAGATGCACACTGCGCAATCCACCACAAAACGATGATTGCCTTCGCGGAGAATTTCAGGGCCTACGCCCCCGAATCAGGGTACTCCGACGAAGATTTAATTGTCAAGATCAGGGAGCAGCGGTCAGCCCACATTCAGACGGTCATGTCAGTCATGGAGACTTTAGATCTCTCCAAGATCCCAACCACTTGGATGGACTACCTTGAATTCTGCCTAGAGGTTGAAATCAAACATCTCCAGCAGATTTCGGGCAACAAGTCTATCGGACAAACCACGGCAACCAAGGCGACCGCCCCTAGGGACCCTAACGCAATGGACACCAGCGCACAAATCACCCACGAACTTTCCCCGGAACAAGACAGGTGGCTGGCAAACAAGCTATGCTTGTTTTGCGGAAAGCATGCCTACGAACGAGGAAAGCGGTGCCCTTCCCCCCAAGCCAGAGTATAAGGGAAAGCGGTTTCAAACCTGATCTACCCCATGGCAGGACAAGGGAAAGGGCAAAGCGACTAAGGTGCAGCAGGTGGAAGAAGAAGGTAGCTCAGACACATCATCTCAAATTGTGGCATTGGAGCAAGCAATTGCTGCACTTCGCGGGATGAGCACCACTTCGAATACTCCACCATCCAGCAAAAGCAAAGGCAAGGCGAAGAGCTCGGACACAGCATCAATGGCATCGACAACTACGATCAAGGACACCAATGTGAGAATCGTCAAGATAGACGATTTCTCAGAGGATTTTCAGTACGAAGTGTAGATGAGTCTGGTGTCACACTTCAGGATGATTGTATTAGTACCGTGAAAAATGAATGTACCTAGCGACTATCTATATATTGCATCTGCAGGTTTTTCTAAACATTCGATCGAATTGCCGATAAGATTCGCATCACGGGAAATCCAGACAACGGCACTATTGGATTCTAGAGCATTCTCTTGCTATATCGACCAAAGATTCGCTGAGAAGCATGGGTTTAAGATGATACCTCTAAACCATGAAATCCGAATCCTCAATGCAGACGCCAGCCCCAACAAGGGTGGCACAATTACTCATCGTGTAGTCACAAGCATCTTAATCGGGGGGCACCGATCAACTGAGAGTTTGCTTGTCACAAACCTTGAACACATGTCAATGATCCTTGGCATGAAATTTCTACAAGAACACAACCCCCGAGTTGACTGGGAACACAGAGAGGTTACGTTCTCAAGATGCAGACACATGAGGAAGCAACGAGTCAAAGTATGTGAAGAAGAAGTCAACCTCCTATCGCAACCTCGACTCGAGGATGAAGCAATTCTTCCCGACATACACATGGATGACGGGTGGGATCAGGAAGATAACTTCATCAACTGGATAGACTTGCAAGACCAGGATCTTCGTAACATGGTGCACGACATCCTAGGTATAAGCAAGAAGGTAAAGGAGCATTTGGTAGAACAGCCGGCAGAAGAGACACAGGACAAAGAATATTGGTACAAGTTCATCCCTCCAGAATTTCATCAATTTGGAGATGCGTTCTCGAAGAAGAGCTCGGAAAGAATGCCGATGCGTAAGCCCTACGATCACGCAATTGATCTTGTCCCAGACGCGGCAACCCCAAGACCGGCAAAAGTATACCCTATGTCTTTACGAGAGAAGAACTCGCTCGATGAATGGATTGACAGCAAAAAAGCCAAGAGCTACATTCGACCATCTAAATCCCCTTACGCCACTCCGGTATTTTTCGTCAAAAAGAAGGATGGCTCTCTTAGACTAGTCTAAGACTACAGGGCATTAAACAGCGTCACCAAGAAGAATAAATTCCCACTCCCCCGAATCAACGATCTCATTGACGGACTCTCAAGGGCTAGTATATTTACTACACTAGACCTGAGATGGGAGTACAACAATGTACGCCTTCACAAGGGAGATGAGGAAAAAGCAGCGTTCATTACCCATAGAGGGTTATTTGAACCCACTGTAATGTACTTCGGATTCTGTAATGCTCCTAGCACTTTCCAGGCCATGATGAACGACATCCTAGGCAATCTCATCTGCACTGGAAAGGTGGCAGTCTATATAGATGACATCATCATCTTTACGGATAACCAGGAGGAACACGACCGTCTGACCAAAGAGGTTCTACAATGACTCCGAGACAATGACCTGTTCGTGAAACCAGAAAAGTGTCACTTTGCGACCACTTTCATCAAGTTTCTCGGACTCATAATCTCAAAAGGGTCGATACAGATGGACTCAGAGAAGGTCGACGGCATGCTCAAATGGCCGGTGCCCACCAAGGTAAAGCAAGTACAAGCATTTCTTGGTCTGGCAAATTTCTATCGACAATTCATCAAAGATTTCGGATCGATGACCCGACCCTTGACTCTATTAACACGTAAGGACGCACCATGGAAATGGAAAGACCCTCAACAAAAGGCATTCGAGGCCCTCAAAACCGCATTTACTTCTGCCCCAATCCTAGCACTCCCCAACGCAATCTGTCCCTTTAGACTAGAGACAGATGCCTCGAACTTTGCCACAGGTGCAGTCCTTGAACTGTTGGGAGAAGATGAACTCTGGCATCCTGTCGCTTATTACTCCAAGTCACTCAATGAACATGAGCACAACTATGAGATTTACGACAAGGAAATGCTAGCTATCATTCGGGCATTGGAAGAGTATAGGCAATACTTTGAAGGACACCCACACCCAGTTGAGATATGGTCGGATCACCTTAATCTTACCTATTTCCGTGTCACGGTAACACCGGACAAGAGATCAAAAAGACTAAAAAGGGACAGTCACTTGGAAAGTGCCGCCCTGATCCCCCTGATCCCAAAAGTATCCCCCTGAACCCTGTATGGTGCAAGAGCCTGTTGACTTACTGGTCGATGTGGCAGATGCAGGGAAGGGTGAGAGATATATGAGAGAGCTGGTGAGCTCAGTGAGTGCTACAGGTAGTAGACGAGGAGAAACAATCTGAGGTTTCGTCCCCTACATGGCTGGTCTTATATACACGTACAGCGGGCTATCTTACCTAAGCTACCTATCTACAGGTATAAGCAAATGGCCGTACATGAAACAATAGGATGTCCGGAAGTAGAACAATAAGTGGGAAGATCGATGGTTGCTGCAGTAATGCGTGTGCACAT